AAGACCACTGGGTCACTATTGCCACCACCAGATGGACACTGGACTTCCCAGCCTCAGAAACTGTAAGCAATAAATTTCATTTTCTTTATAAATCACCCAGTTCCAAATATTTTGTTATAAGCAATGGAAACAGACTAATACAGAAAATTGGTACCAGAGAAATGGGGTGTTGCTTATAACAAATACTTGAAAATGTGGAAGAAGATTTGAAACTAGGTGTTAGGCACAGGTTGGAGGAGTTTGGAGGACTCAGAAGAAGACAAAGAGATGATGGAAAGTTTGGAATGTCTTAGAGACTGGTTATGTGGTGGTGAGCAGAATGCTGATAGGAATATGGACTGTAAAGATCCTTCTAAAGAGGTCTCAGATAGAAATAAGAAGGAGTTTATCAGAAACTGGGGCAAAGATCAACCTTGCTGTGAACTGGCAAGGAACTTGGCTGCCTTGTGTTCATGCTCTAGGACTATGTGGAATTTGGAACTTAAGAGTTGTGAACGAGAGCATTTGATGGAAGAAATTTCTAAGCAGCAAAACACTGAGGAAGCTGAATGGCTACTTGCAAGAGCCTATGCTGAGTTATGGCGGCAAAGGCATAACACAAAGCCAGAATTTACAAGCAAAGCAGAGTTTAAAGATTTCGAAAATTTGCAGCCTGGCCATGTGGTACAGAAGCAGAGAGCATGCAGCGGTGCAGCCCAGCGACCCTTAGTTAAGAAGATTAGTACAAAAGAAAGGGACTATCAAGAGAAGGCAGAAAAGGCCCTGAAGGCATTGCAGAAGCCTCTGGGGCCAACCCTTCCATTTCAGGCCCAAAGACCTAGGGAAACAATATGGTCTCGGGGAACAGGCCTGAGGTGCCCTCTGCGGGCTCGCTGCCCAGGGCCACCTTGGGAAGCTGCTCCTTATACCAGCACCCCAGCTGCTTTGGTTGCCCCAGCTGTAAATTCTGTCTTTACTGGAGATGGCTCTAAACTGCTCTCGGCTCAGAACATGGCACCAGCAGAGGTAAAAGAGCCTAAAAGCAGACTTTACTCTTCCCATAAATTTACCTTCCTACAGTTTCCCACCTCTTAGAAGCCTGAAACTACTCTCTTCTTTGTCCCATTACTTCTAAGCTCTATGGCTGTTTGTTAAAATACTATATAAAACAGAGCGCCAAGCCACTGCCTTGAGAGATACTTTTGAACTGAGGCCTCTCCAGTGTGAGGGGTACAGCACCCATTAAAAACAAAAATGTTTTTCTCTCATCAATACATTTTATTGTACAGAAGTGCCCCAGCTAAAAACTTAACAATGGTTGAGAAAAGAACTTATTTTTTTCTCCCCTTCAATAGCAAGAGCAAGACATTACTCTGACTGTTAGATTTTCTGTATCGGTTTTATAAGAGATAGGTTTTTGGGGTGTTTTAAAAATACTGATAAAATAGAGGTTTTAAAAAGAGAAAAGGCTAAAATAAAGAAGTTCTCATGTGAAATCTAATGCATCAACTTGATATCTGTACCAAGACAGATTGCAAAGTACCTTCCTCAATGGATCATTTTTGGAGGAATAGAAAGTTACCATGATTTATATCCTTCCACCATATGCTGGGTCAAAACATCTGACCAAAAAAAAAACTCCCTTTGGAATTTTATCAGCCAAATTTTAAAGTGTTATTCTACTTGATCCACTGACCTAAAAAAAATCATTAAATAATCTGTCAGAGGTAAGCATTCAGGATTGAATTGTCTCATACAATCAAGAAAAAAAATGCAGCTTTGTTTTGGTGAGGAACTGTCGTCTATCACGGTATTTAGGCAACTAGTGAGGCCACTGTGGGAGCATGTAATGGCGGAGACTTGAAGTGATAGTATTATACATGTCACTTGCTTTTTTTTTTTTTTTTTTTTTAAAGATGACCGGTAAGGGGATCTTAACCCTTGACTTGGTGTTGTCAGCACCACGCTCACCCAGTGAGCTAACCGGCCATCCCTATATGGGATCCGAACCCGTGGCCTTGGTGTTATCAGCACCACACTCTCCCGAGTGAGCCACGGGCCGGCCCTTGCTTTTTGCACTCGGAAACATTATCCCTTCTCATCTTTGCAAAAGCAATGCAGTAAGAGCACAGATGTTTCTGGGAGATGATATATCCTTACACCAATTTTCAATTTTAACAATTTGCATTTAAAAGTCTTGCATTTTTTTTTTTTCTCCTTTTTGTCTTTTTTCGTGTCTGGCAACGGACCGCAACCCTCAGTGTCGCGCCCGTACCGGACCGGGACCGGCAACGGAATCGCACCCCTCGGTGCTGTGCCCACCCCTCGCTCTGCCAGTGAGCGGGAACCGGTCTGTATGTGGGATCCGAACCCTCGGCGGGAGCGCCGCCCTGCTCCCAAGCGGCGCACTGTAGCAGTGCGCCACCGGGCTGGCCCCTAAAAGTCCTGCATTTAAAAATGGATATTAATTGCATTGAGAATCTCCGGTGTCATATACAAATAACCAGACAGATAACTGTCATAAAGTAACAATCATAAAATAACAGTCAGGGTCCAGTGAGGTGACAAACCCACACTAGTTAGCAAAGAGAGTTTAATATAAAGAATTAACAAGAGATTTAGAGGAAGACCATATTCTATTTATTTGTTTATTTTTAGTGGCTGGCCAGTACAGGGATCTGAACCCTTGACTTTGGTGTTATAACACCAAGCTCTAACCAACTGAGCTAACTGGACAGCCCCTCAAAGAATCTCTTTTAGATCAAAATATCAAACACAGAGCACCTACTGTGGAATTGACCTGAGCAGTTTAATAGCCATTAGCCACATGTCAATACTAGCACTTGCAATGTGGCTAGTTTGAATTGAGAAGTGTTGTAAGTGAAAAATTCACACTGGATTTCAAAGATTAAGTACGAAAAAATTTAACACTTTTTAATATTACTTACATATTAAAATAATATCTTGGATATACTATTACATATATTACTAAAATTAATTGCACCTATTTCTTTTTACTTTTTAAATTTATAATTTATAATTTTTATTTTTAAATTTATAATTAAATTACACATTTTATAATTACACATGTGGCTCGCATTTGTAGCTTGCATTGTATTTCTATTAGACAGCACTCGTCTACATACTGTGTGTACCACTACCTCACTGCAACTTCTGAGAAATTCTATAATACATCTGGTTCAGCAGGCACATAAGTCTTCTTGGAAAGCAAGTCTCCACCACTCTCAGCCAAGGGAATGTTGTAGTATATGGATGTTCCAGTGTGCCTGTCACGAGGATTTAAACCAGATACTCTGGGCAATCCAACCCATGGCAAAATTATCACGAGAAGATATACACCCATAAAGTTGCTGAAAGCTAATGAGAAAAATGGCTACAGATTTTTTAAGAAATTCAAATTTCCCCTTACACCAACACATCCTTTTTTTTTTTTGATAATACATCTTTCAAAAAGTTACTGTCAAGGGCCGGCCCGTGGCTCACTCGGGAGAGTGCGGTGCTGATAACACCAAGGCCCCGGGTTCAGATCCCATATACAGATGGCCGGTTCGCTCACTGGCTGAGCGTGGTGCTGACAACACCAAGTCAAGGGTTAAGATCCCCTTACCGGTCATCTTTAAAAAAAAAAAAAGTTACTGTCAAATAACATATCCTTGGATTTTTATAGCATTTGCAATTTAAAAACATTAAATGTATTTGTCTAAGTATTATTTCGTCTATTTTTCACAAAAGCCCTGAGAGATATTTAGGGAGTTATTTTTTAAAGTTACTGTTAAAATATAGCCTGCGAGTTGTGTTCCAGGAGGGAAACCTACAAACGACTGGAACTGATCCACGTCTAAACTCCACTTCCAAACTATTTCCAAATTTCCAGCATTCTACCTTAATAATAATAATAATAATAAAGACATGTATACATTAAAACATTTAGAAAAACTCCTAAAAATTCTCAGATTATTACGTGTCTTTCAAATCCGACAATACATGGGCCTTTGTTACTCATGCTTATTTATACATACTTGGCTATGGAACGTGGTGTTCTACAAAGACACTGAAAACTAGGAGTTGGGGCTAGTTCGTTCACGTGATAGGAAGCAGGGACTGTGCCTGCCTAACTCTGTCACACTTTATCTTGCTGCTCCCCTAAAAGAATCTCTTCAAACACCTCTGGGCCTTGTAAGTGCTGGTGTCTGAAATGCACCTCCTCTACGTCCAGGGTAACTTCCTTCCTCAGGAGTCGAATACCCTTGTGAAATCTCCCAAACTACATCAAAGGAACTTCTCCCTTCGTTCACCACATTACGTAGCGTTTGGGCTTTCACACCTTACTGCAATTACCTTCTAATCCTCTAGATTGTAGCGCGCCTAAAATGTAAGAGGCTATTTCTTACTTTTTTTCTTCCGGCGCGCGCTTGTTTGTTGAAAGATCCAAATTTAAAGTCCTTCCCAGCTCTAGAACTGAGGAATTCTGTCTCCACGAGCGATAACCATACTCACTTCGGTTTAGATGACAGAACATATGCATTCGACCTAGCACGTACTGGCGCTCCATTAAAATATTACTGAAGTGAATTTACAGGCGCATTGAACAGAATCTAACAAGAACTACTTATTCAGCGCCCACCCCGCCCCAAGCACGGTGCTTTCATTCCCTTCATTAGACGCCGCGGCTTCGCCCCCGATACCTTTTCCAAAACTCTATCAAAGCACTTAGAATTGGCCATGGCCTTTAAGACCTCCACCGCACTTCGTTTCATGCCGTTCATCACGGAAGGTTTCCCGACTTCTGGACTGCGCAAGAGTGAACCTTGGTAGAGCTGGTAAACCCCGCCCCTCCCGACCCCAGCGGCTGGAGGACAGACGTTCCGCGCCCTCTTGTGACCGAGTGCGCACGCGCGTCTTGCGCTCGTCAGCCTCGGCCGGCTCCCCTGCCGCGCAGCCGCATCTGTCGCCCTTCGAGAGCGGAGCGCGTTTCCCAGCCGGGAGGTTGATGCAGGAGCGCCGGGACGGCAAGCGCACGCGCAGAGCCGGGCGTCGGCTACTTGTCCCGCGTCACGGGGCGGCGAAGAGGAGGGGGAGCGGATGGAGCCCGGGAGCGGTCCAGAGGATGGGTCGGAGGTGACGCGGGAAGACGGAGAGCCCGAGGTGAAGAAGCGGCGACTTCTGTGTGTGGAGTTTGCCTCGGTCGCGAGTTGCGACGCCGCCGTGGCTCAGTGCTACCTAGCCGAGAACGACTGGGAGATGGAAGTAGGCTTTTGCTGTCTCTCACCTCCCGCTCCTTTACGTAGGTGGGTGGAGCTCCTAAGTACCAACCTTGGGTCTCTCTTTGCTTTTCAGAGAGCGCTGAACTCCTACTTCGAGCCACCGCTGGTGGAGAGCGCCTCGGAAAGCCACCGTGAGACCCCCTCCGAGCCCGAGACCTGGTAAGCGGTGAGGGGAGCGGGGACCAGTCCTGGCAGAGGCGGTTTAACATGGGCGTGCGTTGGGGGGCCTGGGACCTGCCGTGGAGTTGGGTGGGCGCTGCTAAGAGGCGGAGGGCCGGTGTTGCCGCCGCTGCTTGGAGATGCCCCAGCTGCGGGGCAAGCACTTCTCTCGGGAGGTCCAGACTATCACTTCGGACGTGATTTTGAGTCCCTGGAGGAAAAATCGGAAATGCAGTTTTTGACTTGAATTATAGAAGTTGTGTAAACGAGAGGTTTGAAACAAATGAATGAGGCAGAAATCTTCTATTGAAAAATGGTAACTTGGAAGTCTCTTTGCTCCCCGTATTGTGTGTATTTGCTCTCCCCTGGCCAGCCAGAATAATAGCTTTGTTTTTGTTTTTTTAAAGAAAAATATGCACATCCGCCCCTGTTATTCCAATGCCACTCCCCAGTTCTTGACCTACTGCTCTTAAAGTCCTGATACCCTATATGTCCTTCTATGGTTTGGCCACTGCCAATCTTTACAGGTTCGTCTCCTGCCTTTCCTATCCCACTGCAGGCATATCGAACTTTTTCCAGTGGGCCGTTGTATTAGTCGGGGTTCTCCAGAGAGACAGAATCAATAGGATAATTAAATATATGAGAGGGGATTTATTAGAGTAATTAGCTCATGCCATTGTGAAGAAAAGCCCCACGATAGGTCCTTTGCAAACTGGATGCCGGTAGCATGGCTTAGTACAAGTCCGAAGGCCTCAAATCTAGGGAAGCCTATGGTGTCCTTGGTGTAAATCCTGGTACCCAAAGCTGAAGAGTCTTGAACTCTCATGTCCGTGGACAGGAGAAAAGATTGTATCCCAGCTCCAGTGAATAGAGAGAACGCTTCACTTTTTTTCTCTTTTGTTCTCTCCCGGCCCTAGGCGGATTGGATGGTTCGCACCTGCATTGAGGGCAAGTCTTTTCCACCCAGTCCAGTCCACTTAGGCTCTCATACTGATCTCTGCTGGAAACACCTCATGGACACACCTAAAAAGATAGCTTTACCAGGTTTCTTGGCATTCCTTAATCTAATCAAGTTGACACCTAGAATTTACCTTCACAGCCATTTTCTCTCATTTTTTAGTCTTTGTACAGATTTTTACTATCTGCCTGGAGCCTTTTCTTTCACCTTCCGTGCTAAATGATATTTATCTTAAAGGCCTCAGCTTAGACATGTCTATCTCCAGGAAGCTTTCCCTGATTCCCGAGTCTGGGTAGGGTTCCCCTTTCAGATTTTCCTGAAGCATCCCGTATGACCCTTATCATAATAACTTAGTCTGTATTTTAATTACTGCTTCTTTCTTTGTATCTCTGTATAAATAGTCTTTACTAGACTGCACATTTGGTAAAGACAGTATCTGTTTTATATATTGTTGAGTGCCCAAAGTCTAACACAATATTTGTCACATAATAAGCTCTCAGTAAATTTGTGCTGAATATATAAAGTTCTCTTAGCCATAGGGGTAGACTGTACAGTTTTTCATAGTGGAGATGCATTTCTCCCTTTGATCTTTCAGCTGCACTGGTTTACAGATGTGGTAGAACATTTCATTAGGCTCCTTTCTCTATTTGCTTACCCTCTTGTTGGGGAATTGGCCACCCACCCACAGTGATCTATCTCTGGCTCCCATGTTGTAATAACCAGAGCCAATTGGACTAGGAGGTGTTCACCTAACCCAAACTGGCCAGTCAGATCCTGTCTCCTGGGATTTCAAGAGAGTCAAGTCTCAATCTTCCTGGGGAGCCGGAACTGTAACATGTTAATTTAGTATCTGTGGGGATCTATTCCCATCCTTTTTTGTGCATGGGAAAGCTGAGAACAGTGGTCTTCAGAAAAAGAATGAAGCAGAGGAAAGGAGAGTGCCCCTGGTTGCCCTTCTTTGGGCATTGCTGCATTCCTGCTTCTGGCTGTGACAAGTTTCTGTTTCCTTATAAATTTCCCTGTTTTGCTCAAACCAACCTGAGTTAGTGTCTGTTAGTAGGCAACAGACTAAACTGTAACCAATAAATTGGTACAAAGTAAGTGGATTCCCTGAAATGGGCCCTCAGAAAAAATGTGGATTGAACTGAGTAATGGTGGCATGGGGGACTGTTAGGAGTCAGGAGTCCTCTACCCCAGAATGGTAAATTGACAAAAAACAAGCAAAGTGGTTGATTAAGCTGTGGTCTGTTGTCTCATAGAACTCAGATCGATTGCCAATGAGAGTGAGGCTTTAAAGTTTAATCCACAGAGGAGAGAAAAATGGGAAAGGGATAAGGTTCAGGGTGTTTCTAAGCCTTGCACATCCATGGAGCATGACCTTATTAGATTTTTGGTGATGGCTAAATGCAAGTAAAGGAAAAAAGGAAATTGATAGGAAGATTTTATGACCAGAAAAAAGCCTGCTAAGCAGGGGCTTTGATGATCTTAAACCAGTGAGGCATGAGTCTCAGTTCTAAAGTAAATTCCTAGGATATCAGCAAAAAACTGAAACTGAACACTAAAGAGATTAGCCCCCCACATTGGAATCTATCTTTAGAGTTTCTCAGGAGATGTTGCTTTGCCTTCCACGGATTTGTCACCCCCTTTCCCCTGGGTGACGGAGCTGCCAAAGATTACTCAAAGCCTATCTCTTCTGAGCAGTGAGATGCCCCGAAAAGGGGTGAATCTCCCGGAACCCTCAAGATAGAGGCACTCCTTCCATTTGGGAAATTAACCCCAAATTGGGCTCTTCCCACATTTATTCTCCAAACCAGGAAGTAATGGGAAGAGTACATAGGTGGGGTTTTTTTCTAAGTACAATTTAACAAGTTTAACAATAGAAGCTGGTAACATTCACTAAGAAAAGCAAGGTGATGTTCCATAATGTAATTTTTCAAGAAGTTAAGTTGATCCATCAACAAAAGCTTGATCTTAGCAAACATTCTCTTCTTACAGCAATTTCCCAGTATCTTTACATATCAATCAGTAACCTGTCTGCCTTTGAGCCAGCAACCTTGCTGTGTTACAATTCTTTATCTTACAACAGAGACTATAGCCTGGGGAAAATTTCCTGTCCTTTGTAAGGTCAATGTTTGAAACTGCAAGGCTTTGGAAAACCAGGCCCTGTGAAGTACGTTTGCTTTATGCATACTCCGCAAGGAGAAACAAGGGAAATCCTCTTAAAACAGCTGTGCTGAATCATAGCTGCATATTAAAGTTACCTGGGGAATTTAAAAAATACTTTTCCAAGGCCCAACTCTCCAGAGATTATAATTTTATTAATCTGGAGTGGGGCTCATTTGTGTCTCAGAGGCTTTTTCTTTTCTTAAAAAAAGAGCTCCCCAGGTGATTCTAAGGTGGAACCAGCTTTGAGAGACTCTGTCCCAGAGCCTTGTTATTTATTACAAAGGGGAAAATCATAACTTTGCAATTGAGAAATCTGGTTGACATCACCTTAACCACTTGATGAAAGTTAACATCACCAGTATTGGGATGGATTTATTACAGCTGCCTCCTGATATAATGCACCCTGGAAGATGTAATGTCATTCTGTGCTATGTGTTCTGTCAAAAAAAATGCATAACTTTAATCATGAGAAAATATCAGACAAACCCAAACTGAAGGACATTTTATAAAATAAATGGCTTTTATTCTTAAAAAATGTCAGTGTCATGAGAGGCAAAGACTGAGGAACTGTTCTGGATTAAAGGAAAATAAAAGAGACATGCCATCTAGATGCAACATATAAATCCTGGATTAGGGCATGTTGTAGTCCATTTTGTTTTGCCATAACAGAAATACCTGAGACTGGGTAATTTATAAAGGAAAGAGGTTTATTTGGCTTACAATTCTGGGACAGCTGCATCTGGCATGGGCCTCAGGCTGCTTCTACTCATGGCGGAAAGTGGCAGGGAGCTGGCGGGTACAAGCAGATCACATGGCGAGAGAGGAAGCAAGAGTAAAGAGAGAGGAGGTGCCAGGGTCCTTTAAAACAACAAACTCTTACGGGAACTAATAGAGCGAGAACTCATTAATCTCCCCTCCCCGAGGAAGAGCATTAATCCATTTATGAGGGATCCACCCACGTGACTCAATCAGTTTCCAACACTGCCACATTGGGGATCAGACTTCCACATGAGTTTTGGTGGGGACAACACATCCAACTCCATCAGGGCACTACTAGCACAATTGGCAACATTTGAATAGGTCTTTAAATTAGATAATATTGTATCAAGGATAATTTCTTGACTTTTCATAATCACATTAGGTATATATGTATGTCCTTGCTATCAAGAAATACATACAAAAGTATTTAAGCAAATGTTTCAGAATAAAAAGAATAAAGCAAGTAAATGTTAAGTAAAATGTTAACATTTGGGGAATCTGGGTGAAAGGTGTACAGGAATTCTTTTCACTGTTTTTGCAGTTCCGAAAGTCTGAAATTATTTCAAAATAAAAAGTTAAAATATTGCTATTAAATTTATTAAAATTATAAATTCAAAAACTTATTTATTACACTTATGTATACTTTATAAATACTCAGTAGTGGTCGCCTTTTAATGTTTTGTCCTTCTATTCACATGTCTGGGGTCTTGATGGGGATGGCAGATAGTGGGGTCAGGTAGGACTGTGGACTAGAGCACGTATATGTGGCCTTTCCAGCATGGCAGTCTACTCAGTAGTGGTCGCCTTTTAATGTTTTGTCCTTCTATTCACATGTCTGGGGTCTTGATGGGGATGGCAGATGGTGGGGTCAGGTAGGACTGTGGACTAGAGCACGTATATGTGGCCTTTCCAGCATGGCAGTCTCAGGCTAGTTGGACTTCTCACATGGCAATTCAAGGTTCCTGGCCTGAATGGAAGCTGCAAGCCTTCTTATGACCAAACCTCATAAGTCCCAGAGTACCTTTTCCATTGTATTCTGTTGGTCAAGCAAGTCACTAAGGCCCAGATTCAAGGGGAAGGGTATTAAATTTCACCACTCAAAGAGGGAAGTAGCAAAGAATTTCCAGCCATTATTTATGTGCTGCAAATGGGATCTTATTTCAAATATGATTTTAAATGAATTCAAATAAATTTGGAAATCTTACATTTCTTAGTCTAACTTAGGGTCATAATTTATAAAATTATTTTAGTGACATGTCATTGAAGGATAGTGAGTTGTCTATAACAATAAGTGAGCAAATATTTGGATAACACAGTAAGAATCTTTTTCCTCAGTCATATGAGTTTTGCTCTTCTCTAGGTAGATACTTTTAGGGCTCTTTTTAAATTTATCTGTAAAATGAGGGCTAGAAGTACAAAATAATTCTTAATCAATTTATAGATTATTTGTGAAGTTGTGTTTTATTCTGATATCACCAGTGTTGACCTAACCAATGAAGAAACAACTGATTCCAGTAGTTCTAAAATCAGCCCTTCTGAAAATACTCAGCAAGAAGATGGCAGCATGTTCTCTTTCATTACCTGGAATATTGATGGATTGGATCTAAACAATCTGCAAGAGAGGGCTCGAGGGGTGTGTTCTTATTTAGCTTTGTAAGTATTATCACTTCTGTTTAATAGTATGGTGATAATATGTCCTAGGTACCTACAAAGTAACAGTTCAAGATTATGGGCCTTAAAAATAGACCTGAGTTCAAAGTTTAGCTCTGAGAAGAAAACATCTGAAAGAATTGAGATGATTGCCCCTGAGAGCAGGATTGATGGTTGGGGTGGAGAGGGTATGCAAATTTTCGTTAGAAGCCTTCTAGTACTGTTTTACTTATTAAACTTTGTATATAATTACTGCTACAAAATGAAAATTACCAAAAATATCTGGTTTTGCCCATATTGGCTCGGTGACCTTGGGCAAATGACTTAAGTTCTGGTTTTCTTGACGGTGGATAATAACTGCTTCAAGAGGATTGAAAGCGTCTTTTAGAGTATAGGACCATTGTAGGCTCTCAATGTAATGGTTTCTATTGTCAGTCATTCCAGTTCTTTTTAGTGTGATCCTTATAATACAGATCTTAAATAGCACAGATATTTGTCATTTTATAGTTATCAAAGATTGGTGTAAATATTGAACATTAGGTACCCTAGAGGGTAATAGTTTTGTGTTTGTTTCACTTAATGTTGTGGAATTGCCGTCAATGAGGTAGCTGAAAATGAAATATTATACCTGGTGTTCCTCATAAATTGATGTTTTTAACTAGGTACAGCCCAGATGTGGTATTTCTACAGGAAGTTATACCCCCATATTATAGTTACCTAAAGAAGAGAACAAGTAATTATGAGATTATTACAGGTAACAATTTTCCTGTTATTTAACTTGTCTTTTTCTTTGAAAAATAGATCAATGAAAACGATAATGTTAGCCTATTGGAATATAGAGAAGAAAAAGCACAAGTAAGTTTAAGAAAAACAAGACACAGAATATTGAAGAAATTATAGGAGAATACTTTATATAGCTTAATGTTAATAAATGTGAACAAACGGTTGAAATGGATGATTTTTCAGGAAAATATGAATTAAAATTTGATGCACTGATTAGCATTTTGGTGAAATTCAATTGTTAAAAATTTTAAGTGTGATAACCACATTGTGGTTATGCCTTTTAAAAAAGGCTTTATCTTTATTAATTCCTACTTATTTATTTTCTTATTCTTTATGAAACTTTTTGTCCTGAGTAGTTTTTTGTTTTTGCTAAGTACATTTAAAGTACAGTTTTGGCCACATCTCATGATTTTCATATATAACTCTTTCTTTGACTTTTACATAGTATGTGTTTTTTTTTTCTGTGTCTACAACAAAGAAGGAATAGTATGTGATTTTTAATTTAAATTTGCTCTTTTGGCCACATCTCATGATTTTCATATATAACTCTTTCTTTGACTTTTACATAGTATGTGATTTTTTTTTCTGTGTCTACAACAAAGAAGGAATAGTATGTGATTTTTAATTTAAATTTGCTCTTTAATTCAAAATTGCTAAGGTGAATGTTCTTTCAGTTTCTGTCTCTCTCTTCTTTGTAGGACTTCTTTTATGCATTCTCTTCAAAATTCTTTTTGCTTCTCCTGTTTTGGATTTCTTGTTTTCTGAGTCCCATGCTTCCCTCCGCCTTGGATTACTTCCTCATTTTATTAGAGTACCTTCTCTTAATTAATTTTTAATACGTAGTAAATGTGTAGTGAAGTTTTTGAATCCTAGCTATTTGAAAATGCCTGTGTTCTAGCATTGTAGCTGGTTGATAGTGTTATGGAACAGACTCAGCAAGGAAGCAGTTGGCACTCAGAGGGTTGGAGAGTCAGGTATTTTATTACTCTGGCAGGCCCAGACGAGAAAATGCTTCAAAATCTGGACCCCAAGCTAGGTTTTACAAAGCTTTTATAGGCAGACTCTTCAAGATTCTTCTAAGTTTTGTTCTCTCAGCATTCATGTAGCCAGTACAGTAGGCGATGTGATAAGCAAGCACATTTACAAAAGCGGGAGTACGAGCAGTTGATTATCAGTAAAGCTGATACAATAAGCAAGTTCTGTTCTAAAGGCAAAACAAGCTACTGAAAGAATTAATTTTGTATTTTTCCAACAATAGTTTAGCTGGACATAGATTCCTAGGTAGGAAGTCATTTTCCCACAGAATTTTGAAGGCATTGGTTTAGTGTCTTCTAGTTTCTATTTTTAATGATAAGTCTCATTCCATTCTAATTCTTGTTCTTTTCTTTTTTCCTATCTCTGGAAGCTTTGAGGGTCTTATTTTTAGACCTAGTGTTGTCTGGGTCTTTTTTACATTTATTGTGCTGACTGCTTGGTGGGAACTTTGGCTCCTCGGAAAACTTCTGTTCTGGAAAATCCTTTTCTCTCCCTCCTCCTCCCTCCCCCCTTTACCCCTCTTCCCCTCTCTCCCCCCTTCTCCCCCCCTTTTTCTCCCTCTCCCCCTCTTAAAAAGCCAAGAGATTATTCCTTTTCCAGATAGCAAAATGATGAGAAACCTTTTGTGTGTGCATGTAAGTAATTTTTAAAAGTTGACTTTTTAAAAAAAAGAATAGACTTTTTTTTATGGTTCCATGTTGTCTGTTTAAAAAAAAAATTGCCTTTAGAGAAAAATTTGCTCCTTACATATAGATTCTCTTAAATAGTCTTCAAAGGCTGGCCAGTTGGCTCAGTTAGTAGAGTGTGGTGTCAACATCAAGGTTGAAGATTCGGATCCCCATATCGGACGGCCACCAAAAAAAAAAGTCTTAACTTTGCAAATTAACTTTTTACATGAATTCTAAATATAGACAAATATGTAAAAATAGAGTTCTTAATCTATTAGATGTTTTCCTAAGAATATTTTAAGAGTTTGCTAACTCTACATTTGCTTCCTAGGGTAAATAAAGTGTTTTACTCTGTATTCTATACATGGTATTGTGTTGTACTCTGCAAGGCTTACAAAAATGAATCAAATAGATCCTGCTCTCATACAGTTTACAGATTAGTAAGGGAGAGATGTATATGTAGTAACTAAAGTATAGGAAAGGCATAAGTGCAACAGGAGAGGTGTAAATGATGTCTGGAAGTTTAGAGAAACGAGAGATGACTTTTAGCCAGATTACTAACTGAGGGTTTCATAAAGGAAGTGATATTTGAATTGGGCCCTGAAAAATACAGAAGATGTAGACATTAAGAAGAGTTCAGATGGAGAAACCACCATGAGCCAACTTTTGCAAGTTGCAGGAAGTGTATTTGTATGGGTATGAATGAGCATTGTATTCAGTTGGGTGTAGAGTACACAAAGGGAGTAGTGTTACAGGAGGTTGAAAAGTAAGTATGATGTGGATTATAGAAGAGCTTGAATGCTCAGTATGAAAGAATTGGACTTGATTCTGCAAGCAGTTGGTGTAATGACAGATCCTTTATTTTTGGTAGATTATTGAAAATGGTAGATTATTTTCATTAATTGAATTAACTGACCATTTTTGAGTATCTGTGTGCCAGGCCCTTAACAATATAACAATAAACAAGAACTATCTCTGCTTGCAAATGACTCACGGCTTTGTAGGAGGGAAATGATTGTTCTAATTCAGTCTAGGGGACTTTAAAAGCAGTCTGTCCAGCATGCTGTAGAAGTGTAGAAGAGAGTCACTGACAGCCCAGGGACATTGGGGAAGGACCCACAGTGGAGGTGACATCTGGGTTAGATCATCCTTGCTAAGCAGTCTTCTTTGGGGGCAGGGTTAGCACCTTATACTACTTTTGACCCAGAGAGATGGGCACAGTGCAGATTATACTGTTTCAGTTTAGTAAATACATACCAGTTGACTGAACAATCTGCTGATTCTGTTATGAAAGTTCAGCATTACTGGTCAGTGGGCAGTTTTAACAGTTGTAATTATTAATCCTGTTGCAGGTGAGTGTGTCGGGTAATGAACTTTGCCTTATGACTTCCCATTTGGAGAGCACCAGAGGGCATGCAAAGGAACGAATGAATCAGTTAAAAATGGTTTTGAAGAAGATGCAAGAGGCACCAGACTCTGCTACAGTTATATTTGCTGGAGATACAAATTTAAGGGATCAAGAAGTGAGTGACAAAGTCAGTTCAGTGTTTGGGGGCAGATTATTGCTATAGAAAGTAATTTAGGTTTCTTTGACCAAAGATGTTAAAACTAGGACCTTTAGTCACTCAAAATGTATAAGTCGCCTTGCAAATGCAATTCAGCAAATATATTTTTAGCCTGTGCTATATGCCTAGGGGCAGGAGAGGCTCTTGCATTAATGGGAAAAAACAAATACTGCATGTGAAATAGCACAAAACAGTATGTATGTTGGATTAACAAGAAGGCATATAGAGAAAATAATTAGAAGAGTTTAGAAAAAGTTGAGTTTATTTGAAAGGAACAGAAAGATTTGACCATGAGAGTTGTCCTTAACTCTCTTCCTTCTGAGATTTCCTTTTTTTTTTTTTTTTTTTTTTTGGCTTTTATCAACCTTTTTTACTCCTTTTTCCTGCCACTACCATGCCCTGGTCTGAAAGGTCTCTTTCCCCTTAGTTCAATTGAGATATATTAGGGTTTTTTAGGACCTCAAAAAATTAAACATAGAGTTACTTAGGTATATACCCAGAAGATATGAAAGCAAGGATTTGAACAGATATTTGTATACCCATGTTCATAGCAAAATTATTCACAATAACCAAAAGGTAGAAGCAGCCCGAGTGTCACTGATAGATGAATGGAAAAACAAATTGTGGTATGTACATACAATGGAATGTTATTCAGCCTTAAAAAGGAAGGAAATTTTGACACATGCTACAACATGGATAAATCTTAAAGATATTTGGGTAAGTAAATGAAGTCAATCAAGAAAAAAATGTTATGACTCTTACATGAATTTCCTAAACCAGTCAAATTCATAAAGGTAGAAAGTAGAATGGTTGGTACTAGGGACTTGCTGATAAGGGAGTAATGAATTAGTGTTTAGTGGATATAGAGTTTCAGTTGGGAAAGATGAAAAAGTTCTGGAGATGGATGGTGGTGATGGTTGCACAACAGCATGAATGTACTTAAAGCCGTAGAACTGTACACTTAAAAATGGTTAAAATGATAAATTTTATGTTGTACCACACACAAATTTTTTTAACCCTTGGAGTGTGCGTTCTTCCTGGAGAAAGAAGAATTAATCCTTAGTAAAGTTCACATAAAATTGTGAAGGCCGTTGGCATTGCATCATGTAAATGCTACACTTCTAAATTTGTAGACTAAAGTAAGAGTATCAGTTTTGCCTTCTTTTCATTTGAGTTCAGTTTTTAAAAACTACTAAAAGCAATAACTGAGGCCATGAGTGTTCAGCCCTCTGAGTTTTATCTACACAAAGTTAGGAACCTATTTATGGCAGAAGTGAAAGGGAAAATCCCAAACCTTTTTGGCTATCTTGATATTTTTATATTATCTACTTATTCCTTACAGAGGTATCTTTGCTATTTCCACCTTACAGAGTATTCTTTTTCTTTTCAGGTTACCAAATGTGGTGGTTTACCCAATGACATTTTGGATGTCTGGGAGTTTTTGGGCAAACCTAAGCATTGCCAGTATACATGGGATACACAAATGAACTCTAATCTTGGAATAACTGCTACTTGTAAACTTCGTTTTGATAGAATATTTTTCAGAGCAGCAGCAGAAGAGGGCCACATTATTCCCCGAAGTTTGGACCTCCTTGGGTTGGAAAAACTGGACTGTGGTAGATTTCCTAGTGATCACTGGGGTCTTCTGTGCAACTTAGATGTAATATTGTAAAATGCTTTTCAAATACAAGTTTTAAATGTTCTGAGTGGTTTTATTCTGGATTTTTGCAAATATAATTTCTACATGTCTGGAAAGGTAGGTTTAATATGGAGGAATTAATATATTAGATCATTGTAAAAGAAAAAAGAAAACAACTGTGATTTTATCTTGTGGATTGTGTCCTCAAAATTCAGGATTGAAAATGTTTATTTAAACAAAAGCATGCTGGTGTTCAGAATGTGAGGCCTTTTAATGATAGGGCACAAAATCTGTCATAGCTTTTTATTTGGCAGTTGGCTGGTACCAGGATCCAAACCTTTGACCTTAGTGTTACAAGTCCGCACTCTAACCAACTGAGCTAACCAGCCAGCCCCGACATGGTTAACAGTGCTCGTAGATGCCAGTTGGGTTCCAAGCAGGGACTCTAGTCTGACCTTTATTACTTATTTTTTCAATCAGGCACCAAAATAGTTAATATTTTAAATAGTTTAAATAAGAAGAAAGAGGTTACTGAGTCCCTAGGACTATATCTTTTACTTTCCAAATTCAGTTAATCTTAAATGAAGAAGCCATGATCATCTACAGTTAAGTAGATGACAACTTTCCTACATGAGACTTTATTTTTGTCAGCTAACAGTACATGACTGGTAAGCTATAAATGAAACTCTCTGATTTAAAATTCTTTAACTACTTTTTTGATTTATGTTTTAGTTATGTCACCAACAGAGGCAAAGTTAGGGTTGGTAATGATTAAAATCAGTGTTTAGTACCATGAGAATTTATTTCTAAGAGAAAAATAAATGCATAAAGAGAAATAGCCTTTTAGTTTTGCTACTTGTAAAATGGAAATGTTTTATAGGAAGTGAATAAAGAGTACTTTTAAATGTGCTTTAAAGAAAAAAAATTTTCCCCACAAGAGAAACGTACACTTTAAATAAATAATTTTACTTGTTTATAGTTTCTTTTAGTGTTTTTGTGTCCAAGATGGGTTAAAGTTTTTTACCTGCTTCCTGTTGCTGTTTCCACTGCTGCTATTTCCCCTTTGTGTGGAAGAAAACGGCTTTCCATGTTACTTCTCACCCCACCAAGAATTACCAAGAATATCTATGCTTCCTTAGTATAGAAAGAAGAAAGTCAGTGGGAGTAATTAGAATGAGAAGTGACAGAACTTTTATTTTCATCAGGGGTGCCAAAATTAACTAAAACACCTGAAAACAATATGTATGCACAATATTCCCTTTGTAGTGACAATGGAAAGGAGTTTTATATGTTAAACATAATTTTAATCATTAAAAAGTGAGAATTGATGTTAATATTTCAGTAGCATACTTTATGGAGGTAATACATTTCTGTGGGAAAAGGATGGTTCTGGCATAAATTGCTTATTCATTTGGAAGAATTATGTTAGAAGAACCCCACATTGGGCTGGCCAGTTAGTTGGTTAGAGTATGGCACTGATAATACCGAGGTCCAAGGTTTGATCCCTGTGCTGGTCAGCTGCCAAAACCCAAAAAACCCGAAAAACCTCACATTGCAAAAAAAAATCTAGATAGGTAAATGTCCAAATATAAAAAGTAAAATATGCGGTGTGGTACATTAGATCAGATAAAGGATTGTAAAATTGTTTTAAAACCATGAAAGTATCATTTCCTTTATATAATTTGCAGCATCCACATGAAATACCTTCCAGTTTACTGCTTACGGTGACAAAATCTAAGAAACAAGTTTTAAGTGAGATGAGTAGGAACAATCAAACCACTTTTAGTCTGCTTTCATGGGCAATAGTTCTCAAGCAATGAAAGAATTAAGAACTAACAAATTTGCATTTTTTTTTTTTAAAAAAGATGACTGGTAAGGGGATCTTAACCCTTGACTTGGTGTAGTCAGCACCACGCTCTCCCAAGTGAGCCAACCGGCCATCCCTATATAGGGATCTGAACCCGTGGCCTTGGTGTTATCAGCACCACACTCTCCCAAGTGAGCCAGGGGCCAGCCCTCTAATTTGCATTATCTTAAGTTTTTACTTTGAATCTTCCAAAGTTTTTTCAGTGTAGTAGCTCCCTTCTTGGTGAAATTGCAATTCAGAATCTTAACACAGTCATACACTGTGTTAGGGATGTTTCAGTCAATGGTGGACCGCATGTGCTATGGTGGCTAAACCATATAGCCTAGGTGTGTAGTAGGCTGTACTATGTAGATTTGTGTAAGTACACTATGATGTTCACAGAATCACAAAATCACATAACACTCCTCTCAGAACATATCCTCATTAAGCGATGGGTTACTGTATTTCAGTGAGGCAAAACTTTTCATTGTGCTAAGCACCATTTCTGCCATTTGTGGCATGTACTTTAACCTTGCTAAACCTCAGTTTCTCTCCCCTTCAAAATAAGATAGTTCCTTGTCTTTTATTGTGCAAATGTCCCAACCAATAGCATATAAGCAAGAGCAAAGTCAGAAAAACTACTGATACATGATTTTATCCTTAGTACCTATTATAGTGTTTTGCATGTAGCAGGAGCTCAATGAATGTCCATTGAATGCTGAAGAAAAGTGAAAGGTCGAGGCCTCTAGGATACGTTTGCGTCCTAAGGAGGCAGACTAACATTTTCATACAGTTTCAAATAGGAATTTATTCATTATATATCAATGAAAATAGATATTCATTATAGTGGTTCTGAATTCAAAAGATGTCATAGTTTAACATTCTGGGCTAAGTCCATATGTGTACACTCATATATACTAAAAACCTATTTACTAAATGGCTAATCAGCCAAAGACCACTGGGGACAAAATCAGATTTATCGATGCAGTGAGGGAGGGTACTCCACAGGTACTGTGGAAAGCCATGTGAGAAAAGAAAGAGGGAAGTGTCTTTTGTAAGGTTTGGAATCCTGATAATTCTGAGAAGAGGCCTGGAATCGGGGCTGTGCTGCGGTTAGTTGCTGTTTCAGAAGCAGATTGGGAGCCATGGGGATTAACTAGGGATTGTGTATCATGATGGGTGAAGGGAGTTTAGCAATGGCGTATTCCCAGTTATGGATGGGAATAGCAAAGCGGAGGGGTTATCAGTGGTAAGAAAGCAGTAGTCATCCAAAGGTGGGGTTTTTACGTCATTTTATAGCTGCTGCATGACTTTGGAAGTAGCAATATTTCCCGTTAACTTTGCTTCGGGCTTTATCTGTGTTTGTCCTTCCAGCCTGATCATTGGCAGGACTGTCTTTTTCTTTCTGTCCACGCTGATTTTCATTCTTTCAGTCCTGGACAGGTTTTTACTCTTTCAATGTGCATTGTCTCATTTAACTGCCACAATCATGTATGAGCGCCATTTTATCTCAGTTTTATAGTTGAGGAAACTGGTTTAGCAAATTATGTATCTTGTCTAAGGCTCCTTCAATAGCTAGTGAGTAGCCTGGTAGAAGCTTATTCATTTGGTGCGTGTGACTCGGTCCTACGTACTGCGCTACACCTCATAGTGATGGGACGTTCAGGGAATGTTCATGGAATGCCCTGGCTTCCTTTTCCGTCTATGTTAACCACTCCTAGATGCTTTCGCATCTTTATTTTAAGAAAGCAGTAAAAATACAAAGAGGAGTCTTCCACGCACATTTTCTGTGGTTCAGATTATCACCTTCCCCAAGACGCAAATGTAGTTAAAATACAGTGGCACCCAGTTAATCTGGGTGTGGGGTTGATTAGGGTACCTCCGAGCTCAGTTTTACATCCTCACTTATAAAGCAGCACGTGCTCAAAATGGAAAAATAGTTACATAGCAGGGCCCAAAAAGGCTCCCGTTGGAAGAGTGGGACTTGTGTAGCTACGGTAACTGCTTCAGAGGGGCACAATCGCAAAGGGACTTTGACCCAGATAGTGCGCCCACGCTCCCTTGAGCCCCCTGGCCCGGGTATTTATTTGGAAGGAGCGTTCATCGCGTAGACCGTTTAGGACTACGGTGGCAGGAGAAGGGTTGATGAAGGAGAGGAGGTGGGGCATCAAAGCCGCTCTGCTTCCCGAAAGCTTGGTCCAGTGTGGGGTGGGAGTCAGACGCCCGCACACTCACCTTTAGAGCGCTAGAGAGAGCTGGGCCGGGGCGGCTGCCGGCGCCCGCCCATCCCTGGGGGCGTGTGTGCGCGTGCGCGCTCGTCGCCGTGGTAACCGGCGGAGGAAAGGCGCTGAATCACCCGCGCGTGCTTTCCCAGCGCCTGCAGAAGCTGCCGCGGGGGGTGGGCGGGGGGTCCCCCGGGGGTGCTTACTCGTTGCACCCGTGCTGTCCCCGGCGGGCCTGGCTGGCTCAGCGCAGAGCTGGGCGCCAGAGCGGTGGCCGCGATCGCCGTCACTGCTGGAGGTAAGAGTGCAGCGGTAGCCTCAGCCTCGGGTTTGCTCGAGTCGCTCCTCTGGGGTTATGTCCCGGGGAAGAGAAATCGAGGGTTTTGCTTGGGTGGGGCGGTACCTCTGACAGCAGATGCGCGCGCGAGGGAGTGAAGGTGTGTGTATGTGAGGCCGGCGATGACGACAAAGAGGAGCAGGTGGGACGTCGAGTGATGCTCCCAGCCACCTGCTACCTCAGGTACAGTATCCTATTTCCCAGTTCGGCTGGACTAGTGTTAGGGAGGGAGGGCAGCAAGTAGGGAGGTTATGCCAAAGAAAAATAGAATCGAGACGCCCTGAGTTCAGGAGGTGGGTTTCTTAAGGTCCTCCTAGACCTCTAGGAAATGGCATTTCCTGATTGCTGTATTGATTGTTTCTTAGGGTGGAGTCGGGGAAATTTGGGTGTCTTTTTCCGAATCTCACGAATTGCATTACTTAGACGACCTGAAGAATCGTTTTCTTTAAATTTCATTTATTACTATTTATATGATCTTTGCTATCATTTGTTAAATGTGTTTCGTCTCGGTTCCTTACTGTAATCTGAAGCTTAAAATCCTTTAAAGGCTTTCTCTCCTTCCCTTTGAATTCTCTTCAAGGAATGTCACAAGTTAATCAGGAGCATAAACCTGAAATTATGAGGATCATCATTCTTAAGATCATTTGTTCTCTTTTTTATACGGAGAGAGGAAAGTATATGAATACACTCATATACATTTTCATTACTGGTTTGCTCACCATTTTTGTTTGTGGGTTAAAGTTTAGTATTTTTTCCAGTACTTGAATAGAAAAGTTGAATGCTGTTTTTGAGAATAGAAAAAGAAACTGTAGACCAATCTCATTCCCCCCAATACAAGAATTTTTGAAGTGAATGTAGGTGTTTATATCTTTATTCCTGAAATACATGCTCACTATCCAAATGCTTCAATTTGTTTATTGCAAGAAGACCACAATCATGGAGACTACTAAAGTTATGCCAAATGTAAAATTTTATTTTGTGCTTATTGTTTTACCTTATTTTTAATACAAATGAGGAAAACTGGAGATACCAATTCAGTTATAGATTTAGGAGTCAGAGAAAGCAGATTTCCCCTGTAATTTCAAAAAGAGAAATATAAAGTATCATATCAAGATATTTTAGAACCACAGGTGATAGAAAGACTCATCACAACTTTGCCATGTAAAATGCCAAGGCAGAGACTTAATCTTCTTTCAGAATAACTAAAATAATTCAACCAAAATCTTTATGTATTAAAAATAGCCAGCAAAAGAGCTTTGGTGAGTTATTAACATAGAAGAATGAATTTGCTGTTAAATTTTCTCGACTCATTTTTTTTTTCTAGCCAAACAGAGAAGAAGCATTCTCTTTAAATAAATATGTAGAACCAGGTACGCCTATTTCTGGGGCAGAGTGATACAGATTGCCAGGGGAGATAGCCTAGGTTTGGTTGTATCTCTGCCACTTAATGGCTACATCACATTTGGAAAAATCCTTAACCCCTCTAAGCATCAGTTTCTTTCTTTTTTTTTTTTTTAAAAGATGACCGGTAAGGGGATCTTAACCCTTGACTTGGTGTTGTCAGCACCA